CCCCTGGCACCAAGTCGATACGAAACTCCACTTGCCTTTAGGGAGGCACACCCAAAAACTCCTCGGGGAAAACATTAGGGAACTCCCGCACAATCAGGACCTCATCAATCGAACTTGGCCTCCCAGCGGCCACTCGTGTGTCCATCACATAGGCCACAAATCCCCTACAGCCCTGTTGTAAATTCTACCTCGCCCTAGTGGCCGAACAAAATGCTGACTCAAGATGGGTACCCTCACCGTACACCATAAGTACTCACCCACTAGGATCTCGAATCGTCACTAGCTGACGCTCGCAATCTATAATAACTCCAAATTGGCTCAACCAATCCATGCCCACTATGACACATACGTCCCCCATCGCAATCGAGACTAGATCGACCGGGAACCCCACATCGAAGATCTGAAGTCTACATCCTCGAATCACCTCTGTGACATACACTGCTCGATCGTTTTCTATAGAAACTCGCAGAGGTCGACTCAAAGCCTCTCGACAAATACTGATACGACGACTAAAATCTAACGGCACAAAAGATTGACTCACTCCCGAGTCAAATAGCACTAAGGCAGGTACATAATTCACAAGAAATGTAACTACACATAACATAATATACGCATAATATCTCATACTCAAATAAATAGAGAGATGAATACATACCGACCACAACGTCGGGTGCTGCGCGGACCTCCTCCGATGTCAACTGGAAGGCTCTCCCACGAGCCTTTGGTGCCTTGGTCTTCACTGGCCGAATCTCGGTAGCCCTAGCAGCAGGCGCGATCCCTGCGCTGATCCCTGATGTAGCTGAGGGCATTCGGCCTTCCAACGGCTGATTTGGTTGCAATGGAAGCAAACAGAAAATCCCTTGTAGCATACTCCTGTCCTGAACGACCCCTCGTAACTCTTGCCGCACTTCCTATAAGTGAGTCCCTTCGCGCTCCCAGATCTCGAATCAGTGGACCTGGCCCGCTTGGCTGCCGGCTGAGACTGAGCCGGCCACCAATCCATCTTCTGTGACTCGGCCTCCTCCCTGAACTGAGTCTCCAACTCAATCTCCCTCTTCCGGGCATTTTCCTGGAGCTCAGCAAATGTCCGGTAAGTCGAGTTCACCACGAACTCCCGAATATCTCTCCTCAGAACACTCAGATACCGGTTCATGCGAGCCTACTCGGTAGACACCTGGTCAAGGCAAAACATCGCCCTCTCATGAAACTTCCGCGTAATCACCCTAACTGAATCAGTACTCTGCTTGAGGGTCAAAAACTCCTGAGCCAGTCGTTCCCTTTCCACAGGGGGAACGTACTCATCTCAAAACATGGTGGTGAACTTTTCCCAGGTCACCTCAGAAATCTCTGCCAAAGTGAAGCTCGCCGTCCCTCAAACCTCAGTTTGAGTTCAGATACGCCCGAAGGTGTATCCGAGTCCCTCAAACCAAGGCTCTGATACAACCTTGTAACGACGAGATTTTCAAAACAAAATTTTTATTTTTCAACAACCAAATTTTAAATATAAAACATTCTCAAAAGTATTCCACAATAGTTCTCAAATCAAACATATCCCAAGATCACAAATCAAATCTCCTCTCTGTGTGTACGGTTCACGCCGGCACCTTTCCACGGTCCTCGCTAGTACCTGAAACACATAACACAACAACTATAAGCATAAATGCTTAGTGAGCTCCCCAATATACCACATACAACACATATGCCACTCGAGGTTACTATACGACCCTCCGACCGATGTGTCTCAGTGGGACCCTCCGAGCCTGTAGCTCGTTGGACCCTCTGGTTTGGTCATAGCTCGTTGGGCCCTCTGGTCCGATCATAGCTCGTTGGGCCCTCTGACCCGGTCTGAATCGTTGGACCCTTCGGTCCGGTCTATACCATTATATATATATATATATATATATATATATATATATATATATATATATATATATATATATATATATATATATATCATACTTACATCACATAGCACATAAGACCTTCCGGTCAACTCATAATACCACTCTAGATAACGTATAGTGAGAAAACGCACCTCGTGTAACTCGGTAACTCGGAAGTCTCGGACTCCGTGAAATAGGATCTAACCTCCGCCTAATCATATGAAAATAAACACTTGGCATCAACACATTTCCCAAGGCTAGACCATTCCCTCTCTTAGCACTCTCAGGAGGGTAACAGACCATTTTACCCCTCTCAAGGGTCAAATACTCTAAAGTTGACCAAACCCTAAAAGTCAACAAAAGTCAATGGTCAATCCCTTTGACCAGACTCGCCAAGTGCACAATTGTGACTCGGCGAGTTCATTCAAGAACTCAAGTCCTCAAAATCCAAAATGACTCACCGAGTCACCTCTCCAACTCAGCGAGTCACCAACTATGTGATTCATGGGGAAAAACCATCCTACTCGCCGAGTCTGCTCTTGGACTCGGCGATTTCAAGCCATGCTCAAACTCAATTGACCTCCTGAGGTCAGATCCGTTCCTCTAACGCATAGATCTGGCCTCCATGAGCAAAATAAACATGTAAAGTTTGGATCTTGATGCCCATGCAAAGACTTAATGGCTCTATTTGAAGAAATGGGCCCAATATGCGATCCCAAACTCTTATCTCCTAAAGACACTCGTAAAGATCAATGAGTTAAGGTCTCTGGACCACCTTGGATCCAGAAACAAAGTCTCAACACAAGAAGGGACCAATTGCACCACAATCCATACTCTAAAGGGACTAGAAACCCTAACTCTCAAAGATAACACAAAACTGAAGAAGGATCGAAATATATACCTCAGAACGAAGTCCCTAGCCTCTGAAATCCATAGAATATCGCCCTCTTTAGTTCCCTCTTGCCTTGGCCACCTTCATCTTGCAAAAACACCCACACAAAGATCAAAAATGACCTCTTCTTCCTCACAAACGCTCTGGATCTCTTAGGGTTCCTCTCAGGGTCTAGTAGCCGCAAATGGTGGCCATAAGCCCCTTTAAATAAGTCCTAAACCTCGGGGAATAGGGTTTCATTAAACAGTGTGGACTCGCCAAGTCCACGAATGTACTCGCCGAGTCCGCCATTAAATCAGTCCGACCATCCTCGATCCTACTCGGCGAGTCTGAGCGCCTACTCGCCGAGTCTCTCTCCAAAAACTCAATATAAATGCATAAAATAAGATTCCTTGGAGTCTGGATGTTACAAATAGTGAGAGCAAAAGAGAGAAATCAAGGGTTTCTTCAATTTCCGTTTTTCTGGACACACCTTCAGTGTTCCTTCATTTCGCGGAGATCCAACGGTTCGTTTTCTCTCATTTTTGGACAATAGCTTCCTAAAATCGAGGCCTTCAGATCCAACGGTTAAATTGTCGCGATCAGCTCCAAAGACTTGGGAATCGTCACTTCTGTTTGTTGTTGGAAATCAGGAACGTTTTTTGGTGATATTCTTCTTTTTCTTTGCTTATTTGATTCCATATGCTTGATGTGATTTAGTTCCAAGTATATGATGATTATTTTATGCATCTAGTACATCTAGATAAGACTTTGTATTGATCTAATATTGGTGATAGTGGATTTGAAGCAGCTCTAGTAGTCCCGTGGTTTTACTCTCTTTTCTTGAGAGGTTTCCACGCTAAAATTCCAGTGTCTTCATTGGTTGATTACTTATTGTTTTGGGTTGATTATATTGATCATATAACTTGCATTCGGGCTGATTTGTTGCAAGTGAAACTATCCTATTTGTTTGCATTCTAAAAGGTTTATTCAAGACGGGAATAACTTAGTCAAACAAAGTATTAGTCCGCATTGTTATTTACCGTTGTAGCTACGTTTTTCCCATCAAAATCAATTAGCAAAAAAATCATTAACATGGGTTTGGAGCAACATTGCAAGAATTAAATGTGAGTTGGTCAAAATGGAAATCTGAATCAGCATCCTCTTTAGAAGACAAGTGAACTCTGGTGAAGATACCATGTTCCGGGCTGACAACTGGCTTGGTTCTGGGGCTCTAATGATGCTATTTCCGGATTTGTATAGCTTGGAATCATACAAAAGATGTAAAGTATCTGATAGAATCTTTGGAAATGGTCTTTCGTGGTCTTGGACACATCCCCCGCCTGCTTCACAGTTGAACCAGTTATCCCAGACTCTGGCATCCATCTGGCTCAATTCTCAAAAAGACTTGTGGATCTTTGAACTATCAACAACAAATGTTTATACAGTGGAAGCATGTAGGTGTAGGTTGGGGAAAACACAAGGCAATAGTACATTGGATCCCTTTGTTTGGCTGAGGGAGATTCCAGTCAAGGTGGTATGTCTTACTTGGCGTGCTGCTCAAAACCGGATACCGGTTGCGGCTGCTCTTAAATCTGGTGGTATAAATCTGACATGGCCTTTATAGTGCTTGCAAATTCAGTGATTATTTCACATATCACTTACCTTGTGAATGTCCATTTGCGAGAGTGACGTGGGATTGGACTTATAGAAGGTGTGGCATTTCGGAGCAGCAATTCACAATGATTCAGGAGATTTTGGAACTTGCAGCCTCATGGGGGAATTGCCTAAAGAAAAGAAAATTATCCATTGTAATATGTTATGACACTTTGTGGAGTTTATGGAGAGCTCGATTAATAGAACCTTCAATAGTATTTTTATGGTTCAAACATATGAGTAATTTAGGAGTGGGAGATTGGATTGAGTGGAGTAAATATCCTGTCCCTCTTTAATCCCTTGTATTTTTTTATGTTTTGAACAACTTTGTATCTGTTTTAATATGGCCTAGGTCTGTGCTAGGCGGGGTTTTTTCGTTTAATATTTATTTGTCGGTTCCAAAAAAAATAATAAATAAATAAAATCTAGTCACTAATTATTTCTCAAACTTGAAATACTAAATGGATTCAATAGACCATTTAACAAGTATAGGGGTACTTACGTTCATGAAACATAAATCTTAGGGGCCCAAGTGCCACATGCCCATTGCTTTCAAATAACAGTCGACTCGACACTACTGCTGACCGACAATCGCCTACACCTCATTTTGCATGAAACTTTTAGTTCTCGTGGAAACTGTGCCCTGCCCTTTGCAATCGACGTCGACTATGTGTATTGTATAAATTAATACAAAATCACCGATTGATCAATAGGTATATCTTGGTATTCAAACAACGATCACTTCTCAGTAAATTTCATCTCTTTGTGAATCATACTACTTCCTTATGTCTGATAACGATCTACCGGTTTCTATTCAACCAGAGGTTCGCCTTTTTCTCTTTTCCAATGCTTAACTGTACATGTTCATGTTCTTATTTAATTATGCATTTTTCGTAATGAAAGCATGTTTCTCGATAACACAAGTTACAATACGATCAGTTGAAAAATAAATTTGGTGTATTGTTTATTGGGATATTTCAAAGGTTGAGGACGAAGAAGAGAGCTTGAAGTACCTAGACATAGTGCAAAAAACAGCAGAAAATGCAGTTCCTTATGTATCAAAGGCCTATGATTACGCTAAGGACAACAGTGGGACCCTAAAACCTAGCATGGAGACAACAGAGGGTACTCTCAAGACTGTTGTTAACCCTGCAATCGATACGTTTCAGGATGTTCCTGTTAACGTCCTAAAGTTTTTCGATCGTAAGATTGCCGAATCTGTTAGCAAAGCCAAGTCTATTAGTGTGGCTTCTGACACAAAGAATGACGTAGGTGTGGTGGAAACGGCATCTGGACTCGCAAAAACTGCGTACACCAAGATAGAGCCGACTGCGAAAGAACTGTTAGTGAAATACGAGCCAGTTGCAGAGGAACATGCTGCTTCAGCATGGCAATCTGTTAACAAGGTGCCACTCTTCCATAGTGTGGCTAACGCGGTTATACCAACGGCAGGTTACGTTTCTGAGAAGTATAACCAGACTGTGCAGCAAACGAGTGAGGAAGGGTACAAGGCTTCTTCATATCTTCCATTGGTGCCCAGTGAAAAGATTGCGAAGGTATTCAAGGCTCCTGATCAAGAAGAAGAAGAAGAAAAAGAACGGGTGGTTCACAGTGGAGCCGAAGGAGCTGTGCACGGTGATTAATATCAATACCCAATGATGATTATGATGTTTGCAGAGATTGAATACAGTAAATGCTTGTTTTGGTTTATTTGGCAATGTGTTTTCGTACTCTGTCAAATACCCAGCTAAAATGATCGCCTCAATGTTGTTATTAACACCGTAGAGACTACAAGATCAGGATGTAGTGATCGTAGAGATCATGCATGTTCATAATAATACATGTTTATATATGATGAACATATGTATTTAATTATTTTTCTTATTAATTATTATTTGTGTATTTTGCGCTATTGATTATATTTTGCTTATTGTGGTGAACAGAATAATTTTTGCTGTGGAATAAACATTAAACAATAAGTATTTTAAATGTTTGGCAAAGAAAAAAGTTTATATGAATAAAATGGCAAATAAGCAATAATCATTCTCATTTGTTTATTAAAATCAGTTTATTTTGTTTATTCCTACCGTAATAAGTTAATTTTTAAAGACTTCTATCCAAATACTTAAATTTGCTTATTGCGGTGGGATTAAGCAATAAATAATAAGCAGCTTATTTTTTCCCAGTCCAAACACCCTCTTGATTTATTTTATGTTTTAAAAGGTCATTGAATTTTTGATATTGTGTTCATTTAGTCATCTAGTTAGCGATGAGCAAAATGACCGAACTGGCCCGAACCGGATCGGAACCGGGAACTGGCTTGGGCCAAAATCAAAAATCGAACCGGCCCAGCGGTTCTACCGGTTCTGGTTCTATCGGTTCCCGGTTCCTACCGGTTCTTGTCGTGTCTTCAAATGTTGGAACCGGTCCTCGAAAAATAGCATCATACGGTTCGGGTTTTTGCCGGTTCTACCGGTTCCAAAAATCCACAAAAATAACGTCCCGGTCCCAGCCCGACCGGTTGCATCGAGTTCCGGTTCCGGTTCCGTCTGGTTCCCCCGTCCATATGCTCATCCCTACACCTAGCTTTTGGTTTGGTAACTTAACTTTTTATTTTATGTTCATTTAGTCACACGACTTTTAAAATTATATTTATTTGGTCACCTAACTTTTAAAATTGTTTTTATTTTTATAACTTTATTTTTAAAATTTAGTCACTAAATAAAGATCATTTAAAAGTTATGTGACTAAATTAGCAAAAAGCTAAAAGTTAAATAACCAAACCAAAAGCTATGTAACTAAATAAGTACAAAATCATATGTTTGGTGATCTTTTAAAACTTAAAATGAGTTAAAAGACAAATGAAGCACCAAATCAAAAATTAAATGACAAAAAATTACCTAAATTCATTATATATTCATTATATTAGTATTAAGAGAATATATTTCATTTTATTTGGACTACTATTATACTTTATCCTCTTCGTACACATTATGCATAAAAGGAATAAATAAATAAATAAATAATTCATACACATTATGAAAAATGGAAAAAAAAATAATAAACAAATAATTCATATACATCCCTACAAACGATTATTACATCTATATGCTTTCAATATATATATATATATATATATATATATATATATATATATATATATATATATATATATATATATATATATATATATATAACCTATTAAACTCACATTTAAATCCAAAAAGACATTTAAATTAGGTTTAAATAAACACAATATTAAATTTTTTATCTAAAATTCAAAAAATACATATGATATTACTAAAATAGCCTTCTTGAACCAAAATTAAAATTAAACTATATATTTAATAGAAGACAAAATTGCAAGAATGGTCTCGGTGGTATGTTCAAAATTGTTACTTTGTGCCAAATAGGTTTGGACTAGCACTAATAGTCCAAAAGTTTTCATTTTGCTACGGTTTTGGTCCAAATCAGTTTAAAAACTCCAAAAATGATAGATTTGCCCTTTTCCATTTGTTTTTTTTTGTTTTTTCTTTTTGTTATTTAATTATTTTTAACTAAAAAGTAAAATAAAATCTCTTTCTTTCTCTCTGTCTCTCCATCTCTCTCTCTCTCTCTCTCTCTCTCTCTCTCTCTCTCTCTCTCTTTCTCTCTCTCTCTCAAACACATAAAACCACCTTCTTTCTTAAACCTAATCCATGAAATCCTCTTGATTCCAATAACTATTGCACTAGAACCGGTACGTAAATCCACCCACAAACCTTCGTTCAATTCTTGACTCTGTTTGATCACATCTTCCACCAGATCTATTATCAACTCGGTTTTTGGCCTAGCAATTAGAACACCTTTTTTGACACTTAGAACCAAATCCTCCGATGGTCACATCCTGTATTATACTGAAACAATTTTCTCTTTTCAATCCTTTGCTTCCATAAAGAGTAAAGATCACCCAAAGAAGCTCTTAATTGCAAAATAGTGTTGTGTTTGGAGTCGTTGACGGTTAGTAATGGTTTTGGGTTTTCTAGATCATCTTCAATCAAAATTGAGTTCTCTGTGTAAAATTTCAGAGTCTGGGCCGTTATCTAAATCTGTGAAAGATGAACCGACAGATGACGCTAGGGTTCTCGCCCAATTTTGCCATTGTTGCAGGTAAGATAAGGATCCACTGAAGGTGTGTGGTCGGAGAAATAGGGGGAGGTTAGGGTTTAAGTGGGAAACAGAAATTGATGAAGAATAATAAATGATTTTGAAAGAAATAAAGCGATTAAGGGTTCTTGATGCAAATGTAGTTGAGATAGAAGAGAGTCGTGCCAAGCTCGAGAGATTCAAAGCCCATATGACATCAAGCTTGTGGAAATATGAATTTATGTGGGGTTGCTTGAAATGGAAAAGGATGCTCTCTTTCTGTGTATGAAGGGTGATGTCACACCCCAAAACCGGAATGGTGGAAACGTTCGAGGGTGGAGGACGTCATGTTTAGTATCACAAGACATGCATCATAGTAAGCAAAGTAATGAACAACCATTTCATTAGAAAGAAAGTGTTTATAATGTGTGTGTTCACAGAACATAGAATACATAAGCAAATAATAAAACAAGACTTGGAGTTATACTGCACCATCTTCTGAATTCCCAGCACGAGTACCTGTCTACTAGTTTCCTGAGAATACAAGTTATTTGAAAGAGTTTATCAGCAATTAAGCTGGTGAATTCATAAGAGTTTAGTGATGTATGTAAGTTGTAGAAAGTTTAGTAAGATGTAGTAAGTTTGTAAGTTCTTGTTTAGAAAAGTTTGTCTATTCCTCCAGAAAACTCTATGTTTCCTGCTTTAATGAAAGATAAGTAAAAATGACTCTACAATCCTTTCTATGAGTACTAAATGTATACAAGTTATATAAAACTCTAAGTAAACAAGCAATCGATTGTGTGTATCTGCCCTAAGCCCACAACTAAACAAGGAACAGGGAATGAGGTGGATGACACACATCTCATTGATTGTTAGATCCTTGTTGTATATAACCCTGGTGTATTCCCTTGGTACTCACGGAGTTAACTGTAATAGTTCATTTATACTTTATGAAAAGATCCTTTAAGAAAACCCTTATTTCTTATAATAAAATAGTGACCATAGTAGTTCCTTTTATAATCACTTAGTTTATACTTGCTATATATAATCTAGTATCGAACAGATAGTTAATTGTATAAATCTGCCCTAATCCCACAACTAAACAAGGAACAGGGAATGAGGTAGAAGGCACACATCCAACTATCTACCGAATATTAATTATATATAACCTTCGGTGTATAAACTAAGGCATTATAGAGTGAACTACCTAAGGTCATTTAAAATGATGGTTTAATAAAATGGATTAAACCCTTTACTGGTAAGTTTCTAGTTTTGAGTACCAAATGTTCTGTGTGTAATGTATGTTTTGTACTAGAAAACTGTGCATTGAATTAGTGTCCTATGACCTAACCCATACCTGGTACCCCTTATGATGACTCAATGTATATGGAACATATATATAACTAATATTGAATGGATAATAGGCTGGGTGAATCCGCTCTAAGCCCACAACCAAACAAGGAACAGGAAATGAAGCAAAAAGCATACATCCTATTACCTATCAAATATTATTAATATATATATCTTGATGTATATACAGTAAGGAATCATAAGGTTAGCATTATGGTCCCTTTCTACTAAATGTACTAGACCCGACTGTTCTGTTTGTCGCTTGTAAAAATGTAAGTTTTCCCTACTTTATAACTATCTTGACTCGAAAATAGTTTGCATTAACTTTCAAGTGGAACTGTCACTTTATGAAAGTAATGGGAGAATATAAGTACTCAGTTGTCTTATGAATGACATACTGAACGTACAAATTACCTTAAACATATTTGTTTTATTAAGGTCATAATGTGATGGCTAGTTCCCATACTAAACGCTCTCCCTGTGAAAAGATTTTGAGAACGAAACATGACTTGGCAACCGGGGGTTGCATCGTGAACATCCACATTAAAGTTATGTGATCATGTATACCCAATATAACTATCACCTTTTGTTTAGAACAATATGTTAGTGATTCATTGGTATAATTAGATCCTATAATACTGCCATGCTATAGCAAATTAGCATGTTCGTTCAGTTTTAGTTCCTTAGTATCTTCTCTTGTTATAGTATCTTTGTATGTTCTTTCTGTTATCGTATATTGTATCTAGTATGAACTGAACCCCTAAACTATACCCATTATAGATTACTAGTATTCTACTTGAACTGTTTTTTGAAAAAACTTATTTTACTACCAAGTTATGTTTGTACTTTAAAAATGGAGTTTTGTTAAACTAAAAAGTAACATAACTTTAAAAGAGCTTTTGAAATGTTTTGATTACTCACTTGATGTGGGTGATTCAACGAATACACGTGTAAGGAGGAGAAGTTCCATGAATGAAGTCCCGAGACACAATAAGTCCTGAATGACACATATTGGAATGACTATAGTGTTTATAAGCAACTATATAAAAGGAAACACCTTCCGGGACTAGGAAATACTTTGACCAAGTGTTGGAATCACATGTGATTCAACAAAGGAGGGCAGAATGACACTCACATGAGTTTACTACCATTGGTTTATGGCCCAAGGGAGTTTACGGCCGTAAACTCATGGTCAAACATGCATATGTGCTGGTTTGAAAGCTAGGGAAACTTTAGGGACTTTTGCTCTGCTTAAGTATGAAAAAGACCAACCCATTGAAGGCTTTTAATGAGTTTACGCCCCAAAGAAGTTTACGGCTGTAAAATCATGGTCATTATGCACTTGAGAGTAGTTTAAGGCCCTAATCTCATCCATGAAGGGTCATGGGTCACTAGATTCGTATCCAGGTGGGTTTATGGCCAAAATGGCAACCTTAAAGATGTTTACGGCCTTGGGAGATGGCTTGGCCATAAGCTCCTTTTGTCCTTGTGTTCTTGATATTTTCAAGTCTCTAAGCATGGATACTAACTAGATAAGAAGCATAAGGAAGAGTACTTACGATCTAGAAGCTTGAAATGGTCGGTTTTGGCCAAGAACACTAGTATGTGTTCTTGGTGAAACTTGAATATCTATGAAAACATGATTTTCATGGAAGAAATCATGAGATGATGCTAGTTAAGAAGGATTAACATCAATCTAAAAGAAGAACACTTACAACTTTTGATTATCTAGGATGAAAATTGGGATGATACTTGAAAGATTTAGGAGTGTTCTTGAGTTGGAAATGAAATAATGAAAGAAAATGAAGGGTATGAGGTTATATAGGGGAGTTTATGGCCAGGGTTGAGTTTACAGCTGTAAACTCCATGTTTACGGCCATAAACTCTACATGTTGGAGTTTAAGGCTTGAATCTTGTACTGTGGCTTCAGCAGATAAATCCCAATACTTAACCCTTAAGTGCACTAGACTCAGAACACTCAAACAGACTCTAAATTGTGCTAGATATCAGGAATGAGTCTGACACTGAGTTGAGTTAACTGAATGAGCTTTCAAAGCAAAAAACTTTCAGGTTATCATAGGTGAGAAGTGAGTGGGGTTTTGGAGTTTATGATGAAGTGAAGAAGGGGGAGGAGATTAAAAGGGTGTGTTCTTTTCAGGAAGAAGACGTACACACACACACACACACACACACAGAGAGAGAGAGAGAGAGATTTCCTTTTATTTTTTTATTTTTTAGTTAGAAAATAATTAAATAACAAAAAGAAAAAAGAAAAAACAAATGGAAAAGGGCAAATCTGTCATTTTTAGATTTTTTAAACTGATTTGGACCAAAACTGCAATAAAATGAAAACTTTTGGACTATTAGTGCTAGTCCAAACCTGTTTGCCCCAAAGTAGCAATTTTGGACATACCACAGGGACCATTCTTGCAATTTTGTCTTAATAGAATGTTGTTGTCGTCAGCAAACTACCAACAATGCACCAACCCTTTCACTCCTGTTACACCCCTCCCAAAGCTCACATTCTTTCTTGCTAGAAATTCTTAAATCCTAAACTTAATTCAACGATTCTAACAACAATCCACTACATCCTTTCCTCCTTCAAATCATTTGTTTTACCTATAATCTATATTGTTTTAAGTGGCTACCAGGTTAATTCGATCCGTTCCTGATCTCATCTTAAATTCCCATCAATTAATTATTTTCTTGATAGAAACATTGTCACCCATCATTATGCTGGATTAAGTTTTCTAAGGTCGTAACCAAATTGTTATTTTCTTGTAATTAAAAACAAAGTTCTTTTAGGATGGCGTTCATAAGTAGAAATACTTTAGAATGACATTTGGAGAAAGCGAAAATGATTTATTCATTTATTATGATTAATAAATTTATTAGAAACTGATTATAAATTATTTATATTTGATCACGATTAATTCGGAATTACTTTTGGATTAATTGGAATTAGTTAGAGGTACAGTGGTTGATGTGTAATTGCTTAATAGTTGAGCAAATGAATAATTCTAGATACTTCCATGTTTGGACGGCTTAGGAGGTTCCTTAGGGAGCTTCTAGAAGTCTTTAGATATTGATAAAGATAACCACTTGGTTTGGATTAGAATAATATTATATTGAATTCAAATTAGGGATTATCTTAGTTACCTAACAAGTATAAATAGACCATTTAGCGTGTGATTTATGACACATCTCTTTACTAGTAAAACCTTGGCCGAAAATCTCCTCCTTCCTATCTATCTCTATCTCTATCTTTATCTCTTTCTCTTTCTCTTTCTCCTTCTCTCTATCTTTCAAGTTATCTTCTAGTATCTAGGGTTTGAGTATGAGTCATGAAAGGCAACCATATTTTTGGTGCTAGCTTTTTGAACATCAAGAGGATATTGTCTACTAGTGCAATATCAAAGTTATGTAATCTTAAATAGTACTTTTTTCAATTACATATAGGGTTTCTTTTAGTTTCATAAGTATGTTGTCATTAGTTGTTAAAAGACATGGATACAATAGGTTACATGTACCCGTAAGTGTTAAGTGATTTTTTGCATGTACATTGATTTTATGAACTATAAATTCAAACAGTGGTATCCGAGCCATGTCTTACAATTATTTGTACACCATAGATGAAACCTTCAAAAAGAATTGTAAGGTCTGGTATGCTTTTCTAAACTTTTTTTTTTCTTTTCTGTTTTAGCTTGCCTAATTTGATTAGTAGGGTAAATTTTAGTCATTATCTGCTATTTTATCTATTAAAATCTGAATCTTATAATCCTAGACGAATTTAAAACTTTAATTCGAATTTTTAGGAATTAAATAAGGAAACCTAATCTTTAATTATAAGATAATTAAATGGAATTATCATTAATGAATTTTAATATAAAACCTAATTAATGGTTGATCAAAAAGATAAATATTAATTACATAATTGGTTTAAATGATTAATTAATTAAATTTTAATTTAGAAAAATTAAATTTAAACCTTTGAAATTTTGAAATGTTCTAAAATACACCTTATATATACAAGAGAGGGTACTCTCAAGACTGTTAACCCTGCTATCGATACGTTTCAGGATGTTCCTGTTAACGTCCTAAAGTTTTTCGATCGTAAGACTGCGGAATCTGTTAGCAAAGCCAAGTCTATTAGTGTGGCTTCTGACACAAAGAATGACGTAGGTGTGGTGGAAACGGCATCTGGACTCGTAAAAACTGCGTACACCAAGATAGAGCCAACTGCGAAAGAACTGTTAGTGAAATACGAGCCAGTTGCAGAGGAACATGCTGCTTCAGCATGGCAATCTGTTAACAAGGTGCCACTCTTCCATAGTGTGGCTAACGCGGTTATACCAACGGCAGGTTACGTTTCTGAGAAGTATAACTAGACTGTGCAGCAATCGAGTGAGGAAGGGTACAAGGCTTCTTCATATCTTCCATTGGTGCCCAGTGAAAAGATTGCGAAGGTATTCAAGGCTCCTGACCCAGAAGAAGAAGAAGAAGAACATGTACAAGAACCGGTGGTTCCCAGTGGAGCCGAGGAGTTGTGCACGTTGATTAATATCAATACACAATGATGATTATGATGTTTGCAGAGATTAAATATAGTAAATGCTTGTTTTGGTTTATTTGACAATATGTACGTTTTCATACTCTGTCTAATACGTAGCTAAAACGATCGCCTCAATTTGTTATTAACACCGTAGAGACTACAAGATCAGGATGTAGTGATCGTAGAGATCATGTTGCTAATAATACATGTTTATATACGATGAACATATGTATTTAATTATTTTGCTTGTTAATTATTATTTGTGTATTTAGTTGGGATTATATTTTGGTTTAGGTCATTTTTTGTGATTTAACTTTTGGTTTTGTATTTATTTTTTAAGTGTGACCTTTTAAAACTTAACTCATTTTAAGTGTTAAAAGGTCATTGAACTATTGACATTGTACTCATTTAGTCACTTAGTTTTTGGTTTGGTAGTTAACTTTTGATTTTATGTTCATTTAGTCATCTAACTTTTAAAATCATGTTTATTTAGTCAACTAACGTTTAAAATTATGTTCATTTTAGTGACTAAATAAAGATAATTTAAAAAATTATGTGACTAAATTACCACAAACCCAAAAATTAAATAATCATACCAAAAATATTAGTAACTAAATGAAACTAAATGAGTACAAAACTAAAAATTTATTCCCATATTAAAACTTAAAATGAATTCAACACTAAACCAAAAGTTAAGTTAGTGCAATGTGTTTGGTTAACATTTGAAGAATATATTTCAATTTATTTGACTATTATTATACTTTATTCTCTTCGTACACATTATGCATAAAAGATATAAATAAATAAATAATTCATAAACATCCCTTCGTACACATTATGAAAAATGGAAATAAATAAATAAATAAATAATTCATATACATCCCTACAAATGTTACTATTATGTCTCTATCCTTTTAATATATATATATATATATATATATATATATATATATATATATATATATATATATATATATATATATATATATCCGGTAAAAAAAATTTGGTAGGAAGGTAAGAAATTCTTTTTGTACATATTTTTTTGACGAACAAAATAAATGAATTACTAGATGATTCACAAGAAAAAATTTCAAAAAAAACATATTTATGATTCATTTTTAAGTAAATTAAAAAAAAATTCACTTTTATGACAATTTTAGTGAATAACAACAAAATCATTGTATAAATGAATCATTGAGATACTTTTTTGAGATTTTTTCTTGTGAATCATCTTACAAATGAATCATCTAATGATTCATTTTGTTTGTTCGCAAAAAAAATATATAGGAAAAAACTTCTTACCTTCCTACCAAAAATTTCCTTCTTATTTGATCTTGACTCTCTATCTATCTCTTTCTCTACATATATATATATATATATATATATATATATATATATATATATATATATATATATATATATATATATTAACTTATTAAACTCACATTTAAATTGGAAAATATATTTAAATTAGGTTTAAATAAACATAATATTAATTTTTATCAAAAATTCAAAAAATAATATGATATGAATAAAATAGCCTTCTTGAATCAAGGATTAGAATTAAACCATATATATTTAGTAGAATGTTGTCGTCATCAACAAACGTTATCAACAATGCACCACCGTTTTCGCTCCTATTACACTCGTCCCAAAGCTCACATTCTTTCTTGCTAGAAATTCTTAAATTTTAAACTTAATTCAACAATTCTAACCACCATCCAATACATCCTTTTCTCCTTCAAATCATTTCTTTTGACTATAATATTTTCTATATTTGTAACGATCCAAAATTTAAGATCAAAAATTTCATTTAATAAATCATTACTTAAAGTAAAGTCATCATTACAAAACATAATATGAGTATAAGTTTTCAAAACACATGTTCATTATCAGAGTAAACATTCCCAAACTGTCTAATCTATGGTGTGTGCCATGCGATCACCCCGAGCTCTTCCCTCCGCTACCGGAAGTACCTAAAACCAAAACTGAAAACCGTAAGCATGAAGCTTAGTGAGTTCCCCACCCTACCACATACCATGCATAACCACATACTGCACATACTGGGCCACGCCCTCTATCTTGGGCCTCGCCCCCTACCTCGGGCCTCGCCCGCTACAACGGCCCCACCGCTCTAGGCCCCGCCTGGCTTCGAGCCCCGCTCGGATACAGATCTGTTTTACTTAGGCCTCGCCTGTCACAGGGCCTCGCCCGTCAATAAATAATAACACATAAACATTTCACAACACATAACTAACACATGCAACTGGTTTTGTCCTAAGGCCTCGCCTATCCTGGGCCTCGCCCATGTTCTGCTACTAATGAGTCATGGAACCCCGTCCACGCTCCTAATGGTAGTGAGGTACGAGCCTACCCCACTCTCACTCCTGTTCTAGTTTGGGCCTCGCCCCTATTCTGCTACTAATGAGATATGGAACCCCATCCACACTCTGCTATTGGTGAGATACGAGACCTCGCCCACACTCACCTCCCTACCAAGCACATACATGTATCATACAGACAACAAGTATAAACTATCATATAAACAATTCCTTGGGCACCCGCCCGCTATTATTGGACCTCGTCCTGAGAATAATACTAGCATACTGTGCCTAGGGCTAACCCCTGGGTCTTCTATTCATAACTACATGGGCCGGCATTGTGGCTTTAGACCCATTCACACAAAGGGAAACTTACCTGCACTGGCTGAACTTGCTGATGATCTCACTAGTTGCTGCCCGATAACTCACGGAACTCCTGCTCCTCTTGCTCCCTGAACTACCAATATCAATGTAACACTGAGTCTATCTGACCCCCTAAAGACAACCAAGTCCACCCTGGTCCAAGTCAAAATCCTGGTCAAGGTCAACCTTCCAGGTCAACCTTACTCGCCGAGTCACCCTATTGACTCGCCGAGTTCATAATGTTCAGATTCCTTCCATTCATGACTCGACTCGCCGAGTCAGTCCATGACTCGCCGAGCCTACCGATTTCTGAGTCCAGACCTGTCCAACTCACTGAGTCTCCACCCGACTCACTGATTCGAGTCTTAACTTGAAGGGTTTGGGGTTTCGCGACCTGACTCGCCGAGTCTAAGAACAGACTCGCCGAGTGCAAGGTAATCTTCATACGACTCGACGAGTTGTTCATCCCACTCATCGAGTTTATCCACAACTTCATGCTACTCGTCGAGTCCACTCAAAGGACTCGCCGAGTCCCTTGAGTTCTCCTTACATGCAGAGGATTTTAGAGTCATGCATGGACTCCAAACTGTAGATCTACCCTTCCCAAGCCTATTCCTTACATAAAGTTGCAATCTTTACGTGTAGAGAAGGAGATCTAAGCAAAACATGCCAAAAACTAGGGTTTAAAGCCAAGGGGCTTCAAAATCGACTCAATGGCTGATACTTTATGCTTCTCCAGACCATAACACACTTGGATCTGAAGTAGCAACTCCAGATCCGGCTTCTAACCCATAAGGGTGACTAATCATGGCTTAAAAGCCCCAAAACTCACAACCAAAATTAGATCTAGGAGAAGGAAATGACTTAATACCTTCAATACTTCAGAAAGGTTCCACAAACTCCAGATCTGAAGCAAATCCTTGAAGCTTCACTGATTCCTCTCCTTCTTCTTCCTTCAAATCACCCAAAAATGGCTTGGAAGCTTGAATGCACAACAATGGAGGCTTAGGCTTTGTTTTCTGAACAAGGGGGCTCTAAGGAACCCTAATAGAGAGAATAAGGATCTTAAATAGTGCCCAAAGTCCCGGATTTAGGGTTTTCCTCGCACAGACCAGACTCGCCGAGTCCACTTGGCCGACTCGCCGAGTTGGCCACTTACACCTTGACCCGGATCCCGCTCGGACTCGCTGCGTCCCTCCTTGGACTTGCCGAGTCGACCCTTAAATTAGGGCTTTCCTTTTCTTTCTTGGCCTTTGAAACTTTGGGTGTTACAACTCTCCCCCACTTAAACTAAACTTCATCCTCGAAGTTTACTATACTCTACTGCCGGCGGTCTGCCTCCAATGCCCCACCATCGATTCTAACACCAGCATCCCCGCATTGAATTCCACCATACTCTGCATCCCCGCACTGCTACTGGCTAGAAATCCTGCTATTCCTTATCTGGCTTCCGAACGAACTGAGACCATCCTGGTCCCTACCAACCTATCAATCTTTGGGTTACCGACTCTCACCGATTACTAACCTAGGACAACCACTAGTCACTCCCAGCGGCATTCGAAGATACTTCCGCCACCTATACTGCTCAATCTATTCTACCATGCTGGCAATACCATTTCCTGGGATCCCCGATCCCCTTATCTAGACACTAAGATCCTTACCAGGTCCCACTTGTGCTGCTAAAACTCACGGGCCTCGCCCACGGGTCTCATCATCCATACTACTGAGCAACCCTGCTCTCAGGTCTCACCTATACTGCTATCCTCATACGGGCCTCGCCCACGGGTCTCACCCGACTATATCCTAGAGCGGCCTCATCCAAGGTCCCATCTCTCAATGGCTATACAGGCAACTCCATACCATTCTCATCCATTCCCCATTCCCGATCCCTATCTGAATGCTAGGAGATAAGGGCCTCGCCCCGACTCCGCCAACAAATCTACTACCAAAATGCCACGGCTGCCCCGTAGTCTGACAACACTTCCACCACTGGCTGCTAGTGAATGCTACGGCCGCCCCGTAGTCTCACATCACTTTCCACTACTGACTGCTAACATGAAAACATCTCCTACTATTTGACCTCAAGATCTCCATTCCGATTCACACGAGTCCTCCCTGCGGCCCTTTAACCTGAATCCGAACCACATACCCACCATTACCCTTTACACGCACGCACTGATGGGAAGTTCTCAAACTCCCAACCCTGAACTACTGAATCCGTCAAACGCTGAACTACCTCCTTTCCTTCTTAGAAATCATATACCCGATCTGGATTTGCGTGCCCTTACCCTTATACACTCGGAGGATTCTCCCCCACTTTGATCCTGCTTACACCTAGATG